AGATCTGGTTCACCAGCACACTACTGGGTAAGTCTAAAGGGTAAATATAAATGAAAACCAACTTCAAAGGCTAATAATAATGTCTTGTGATGCTTAAAAAAAACAAGATGGAATTAAATTATTTTAAAATCCTTGATTATCTGAGGGGAGGGTAATGGTATCAATTAAATTTAGGCTTTCATAAGTAAAGTATTCACTAACAAAAAAAGAAATGAGTTCACAAACTTGAAACTATGGGGGGGAGGAATATAAAGATCAAAATTATTCAGCAATTCTAAAAGAAGGTAAGAAAGAGAAAAGAAATGGAGAACAAAATAGGATGGCACATATCATCCCAAATATATCAGTAATCATATAAATAAAAATGGACCAGCCATATAAACTATTAGATTAACCACATGAACTTTCTGATAGTCAAATCAATCAACTAAATCAGACTTAACTAGTTGACTTAAATCAATATATTACTATGCATTTAAAGCCTATAAATGGACTAAATGCTCTAGATAAGAACAAAGAGTAAAAGAGTACAAGTAAAAGTACAAAAGATATCTCTAAAACAGAAGGATTCAAAGAAATTTGAATTAGAGGGTGAGTACAGATCTACCACACAAATATAACCAAAGAAAGCTGATGTCACTGTATTAGTATCAGGACAAAACAGGCTTTAAAGCAAAAAGCATTCCTAGAGGTAAAGAGAGCTGCTCCATAATAATAAAAGATCCCTGGGGTGCCTGGGTGGCGCAGTCGGTTAAGCGTCCGACCCAGCCAGGTCACGATCTCGCGGTCCATGAGTTCGAGCCAGCGTGCGGACTTTGACGTGATGGCTCAAGAGCCTGGAGCCTGTTTCCATACCCTCTCTCTGCCCTCCCGTTCATGCTCTGTCTCTCTCTGTCCCAAAAAAAAAAAAAAGTTGGAAAAAAAATTTAAAAAAAAAAAAAAAAAAAGTCCCAGTCACTAGAAAAATACACAAAAATTTAAATATACATGCACTTAATAGCATTGTGTCAAAATATTAAAAGAAAAATTGACAGCACTAAAGGGCAAAAGGGCAAGTTCCCAGAGTAGGAGATTTCAACATGTCTCTCTCAATAATCAATAAAAGAAGTGGACAAAGAATTCTTAAGGATATGGCAGATTTGGACACTTATTTCATTTTATTATTATTTTTTTTTATTTTAGAGAGAGAGTGCACATGTGAGTGGGAAAGAGGGGCAGAGGGAGAGAGAAAGAGAATCTTTTTTTTTTAATGTTTATTTATTTTTGAGACAGAGAGAGACAGAGCATGAACAGGTGAGTCAGAGAAAGAGGGAGACACAGAATCCGAGCGGGCTCCAGGCTCTGTGTCAGCACAGAGGCCCGATAAACTCACTTGAACCTGAATCATGGCCTGAGGCAGTGGGACTCAAGCAGCTGAGCCACCCAGGCGCCCCAAGAGAGAGAATCTTAAAGAGGCTCCATGCTCAATGTGGAGTCTGACACAGGGAGTGATCCCACAACCCTGGGATCATGACCTGAGCCAAAATCAAGAGTCAGACACTCAATCGACTGAGCTACCCAGACGCCCCTGGAAATTTTCAGCAACATTTCTAGCCAATATGACTTGATCGATTTGTGCAGTATTTGGTGCCCAATGCAGAATCCATATTCTTTCAAATTAGATGTGGGACATTTATAAGAATTGACTGTACAAGTAAGTCCACAAAGCAAGTAATAACAAAAATACAACTGGAGAATTCCCTAAGTTTAGAAATTGAGAAATGTAGTTTTAAGAACAGAAGGTTAAAAATCAAGGAGTTAAAAAATAACACTGAAATAAAACCAAAGAGAGTGCAAGGAATAAAAACAAAAGCAGAAATAAATGAAACCAAAAAGCACACACAAGGGAGAACCAATAAATATCCAAGAATTGGTTT